GCCACCCATAACAACTTGCTTTTTATGTGGCTGGATGTTGGTAGAATTCTGCTTAATTGCTGTGCCTATTAGTATAGACTACTCCTGACAGCTAACATTGTAACATGTATTAGACATATTTTTTATTAATCTCCTTTATTTTTTCTCTGATTGCAAATTAGCAGTTTCAAATGCTTATTATTTCAAAGTGTTTAATGGCCCCATTACAGATGTGCTTGGCACTGCTGTGCTGTCTCACAGCTTTAGGATGAAGGCTGCGTGACCTCTGTGTGGAGTTTGCACGTTATATCCTGTGTGATTCTACAGTGCCTTCAGAAAGTGGTATTCATCCCCCCCTGGAAAATTTCAAAAATTAACAAGCAAAACAAAAAAAAAAATACATCTGTGTGGGATTTTCTGTCTATACAAATGACTTTGTAATAAAATGTAAAGGACCCATGGTGACAACATGGCTGGGTATCTTGTTCCATTCTCCCACAACCGTTTACTTGAAGAAGCACCTCCTGGTTTTATAAACGCTCTTCCCTGTAGTTTCCAGTTAAATTGAACCCAGGGCCCCAGTGATGCAAGACAGCAATGGTAACCACTGCACCTACATGCTGCCCAACCATTTATACTTTTTGACAGAATTCAGTGAATAGGATGCAAAGATGATCTGCTCTCTTGTGCCTGAAGTTAAATATCTAGCAGTAAAATGAACAGATTATTGTTATTGTTGCTGTCGCTTCTTAGCAATTGCTTTGAGCGGTCACATCACTAGATTCCGTATTTCAATGGGAACCTCGGACATCTGGTCCTCTGTCAATGCGTTTCTCCCTTCGACCACGCGGGGGCGGAAGAGCCACGCAGCTAAAGTACACACCAACTGAGGCCCGAGCTGGGCTTAACTAACAAAGTTGTTCGGCGGCGCTTCTCAATGACCGCACAGCCTCCCGGTTTTCTTCCCATCTGCGCTCCAAAACAGTTAATTGAATCAATTAATTAGCCAATTCACCGAATTCAATACCTTTCTGGGGTCTCAAACAGCTGGCGGAGATGTCGCGACGGGCTCTCTCGGGCTGAATCAGCTGTTCCTCACCGGATTAGCCCCTTCTAATTAAAATTGCTGTAAAATTGCACTATGCGTATTTTGTGTATAATTCTGCAAATCATGAACAATTTAACACTTCAAATGTATCGCCCCTTACTCCAAGATGAATAAGCGATCCTTAAAAAAATAAAAATACTGCGCATTGTGTAGCCCAGGTGTGGGTAACGTCACAAAAAAAGGGAGATCGTTACTTCAATAAAAAGCAGGTTTTTTTTTTTGCTCCTGGGGAGTTTCTCCTGATTCAGATCTTGGGCAGAGCCAGCTGCTTGCGTCACTTCCTCCCACGCCTCGCACCTCGGAGAGCCCGTGGCCGGTGCCCCTGTTTTCACGAGCGTCGTGCCTTTCCTCTTTCGTCTGTGCGAGGGGGTATCAACCCCTTCAGACACCTGACTTCTCTCAGTATTCTGCACAGATGCTGGGGAGATTATTCTTTAATGATTTGTTTGTTTCTGCCCAGACGTTGGAAAACTGCGGCGGCTGCGGTGCGCGTGTCAAAGGTCAGGGGTGACGGACTTGCGGACTCGCGCGCGGCGCGCCTGCTGTCTTCTGATTTCGTTTTCTTGTCTTCTGATTTGGTTTCACCTTCGGCTTTCAGTTACACTTGGTCTTCGTTCATTCACTGCACAGGTGTAATTGGGTGTTTGTAGGTCCATCTTCTCAAACCTGTCCAGCTCGCGGCACGTTTTTAATGTCCCGGATGATTTTTAATTTATCAGCCTTGATACAGTGAAAAAAATGTATTTCCGTGTTCCTCCTTGACGTATTTCGACGTGAAATATACACTGTAATTTAAATGATACTGTACTATAACGCACTTGGCTCTGTGAAGCGTGAGCTTGTGTCCGCGGACAGAGCTATCTCATGTTTCCTTCGGCGCTGGGAAGAGCGGGACTCTTGAATCTCGCGATTCACGGTTTAAAAACGATCTCTTCTCATTCCACGGCACGCCCGTGACCGTTCCACGGCTCGCCAGTTTGGGAGGCACGGCTGCAGGTACCTGCACCAGTGAAAATCAACGTTTCGAGTAGTGAACTGTAAAAGACCTCGAATATTACAAAACTGCCTGACCCCGCGGCTCCCGCGAGCGAGTCAGAGATCGGCTCCTGGTTCGGCGTCTTTCCCGGCTCCGGCAGGTTAGAGCGGGGTTCCCCGACCCTGTCCCTGGTGACCCACACACCTAATGGCCGAGCCCTCAGCTGCACCATCAAACCCTTCACTGACTGCACAATCACAAGACTCCCTGGAATCGCTGAGTCCCGGCTCTTAAACGTGTTGTTGGAGGCTTCGCCGTTGTCTTTCGTAAGTGAAATAAACTTGTGATTGCAAATATTCCAAAGGGGGCAGCGTCTTAGATCAGGTGAGGCTTCGGTTGTCTAGGAGGTGGGCTGGGATGAAACCCTGCAGGTGTGTGGGTCACCAGAACCAGGAGTGATCATCTCTCGCCCGCCCTCGCCTACCGCCTGTCCTACACGCCTGAAAAAGGCTCCACAGCCGAAACGCTGTGTGTCCTTTCTCTTTAGCCTGGAATAAACCTTTACTTGTTCCTTTACCACCGGTCCTGTCGCACAAGAGCTCGTCTGACCCCCCCGCCCGCGTCAGCGGCACAAAGCAGAGCCATGTGTGTGGCGCTCGGGCCCGGCCGGAATCCTGCGCGACCACATGAGTGCAGCCCGCCCCGGGCTCAGGAAATCGCCACGTGCGAGAGAGGAACCCGCATCAGAGACACACCCGCGCCCCTCCGCCCGCAGACACGCGGGGCTCGGGGCGCAGCGCACGTGCGGCTCCCCCGGAGCTCCCGCGGAGCAGCTGGGAGAGATCTGCGCAGGAAATTGGAAAGATGAAAACGGTTAACAACGATTAAAGTGCAGAGAAAGAAAAAAAAAAAACAAGCTATTGGCTGTTAAATAAACCACCCCAGCCCTCGCCGAAACGCGTGTCCTGTGTGCGCGCAGGAGTCGCCATAGAAAACAATAATTGACACAAAGTCTAAAACTTTGTCTGGTACAGAAAGCCGATCCGTACGGAGCCGTTACTCGACACCAACTTAATTTTCTGTGTTTTTTTTTTTTCATTTAGTTGCAAGGCACGTGTGCTACATAGCCCTATTTCTTTACCAACGGTCTTATTTCTCACGCTTTCTGGTCTCCTTTGTCACAGCTTGGTGCTCCCGTTGTCTGCGCTGCTGGGTGGGGAACCGGGGGAACTGGCGAAGACCGTGTGTGTGGGCGACTGAGCGAGGAGGAAGGGGGGGGTGTTCATCTTGCACTGAGGGCGAAAATAATCATGTCGGACTCTACAGGTGAAAGACCACCCGAGGCTCTGCCCTGAAAGGCTCCCTGTCGCGTCAGGCTCGGTTGAACCTGCGGACGATGTCAGGCCCGGGGCGCGCGCGCCGGGTGACTCATCAGCCTCGCGACAGAGACCTGCCGTGGCGGAAAGACCCGCGTGTCGCTTTGGAGAAGACACCTCGAGCCCAGCCGCGGGGACCTCGCGCCTTCATCATTACAGCCGTGTCCCGCCGGTACCCGCCTCCCGAACCGGGCCCGGCCGCGCCCCGTGACCCGGAGGCTTTGGAGAAGCAGCGCTTCGCCGCGGGGAGACTCGCAGAGAGCAACACGACTGCCGGGTCCTGACAGCCATTCCACAGGCCCGAAGGCACACATGTAGCAAGCGCTGACAGGGGTGTGAAAACGAGCGCTGACATTTGTTTTCCTGCGCGGTGAAGGTCGCTCCTTGACAACCTGTCACAACGCCTGAAAATCTTCTTTCTCCTCCCTGGACGCGTCGCCGCACGAGCACGCGGAACGCGCTGCCCAAAGCGCTCCGCGTGCCTTTGTGCTGTGAAGGAGCCGCCCCCCCACAACTTAACGCGCTTCAGAGCCCCGCAGTCCGAGCCTTTGACACTGAAAGGGAAACTCCGCTGAAAGGATAGGCTCAAGCTGCGCCGCCGCTGTCCGCCGAAACACTGCGAGCGGCCTGCGCTCGGCGTCAAACAGCCCCTCTCTTCTCTTTGGCAATTAAAAGTTTCCTTTTAAGCTGATTCTGCTCTACAATTCAAGCTTTTCTTCAGGGGAAGTTCAAATCAAACTTTCGCAAGTTTTTTACAGGAACATAAGAGCTTTTAAAACACTTTAAGCACTGCCTGTAACCTTCCCACAGTTTGAAAGCTGAGTATTCAGCTTTATAAGCATTCAGTCTTTATAAAGACTGATGTTTTTCTTTTCTCTTTACAGGTTTAATATTTGTAAAGCCCATCAGGGCCCTGGGTTCGACCCACGAATTCATGCTGCTGCAGCTGGGTCTCTAAAAGCCCACAGATCAGCACAAGGCAAGAACAGTCCTCTCTCACCTCCCCCCTCAGAGGTGAGAGAAGGGGAGGGTGCGTGGCTCTGACGGGAATGAGCCCGCGCCCCATGGTGGGGGGGGAGGCCAGCCATCCCAGCATACAGCTGGACGTTCCTCGAAGTTCCTCGGAAGAGCATCAGAAAGGTCACAGTGGAAATGAGGCCCATCTAGACAAGATAAGATCACTTTATTGGCCATATACAATTTCTTGCATGAGGAATTTGTCTTTTCACAGACCCCAGCTTGCTCTCCATGAGACACACAGGCAGGGAGAGAAGCTGGGGGTCAGAGCGCAGGGTCAGCCATTGTACAGCACCCCTGGAGCAGTTGGGGTTTGCTCAGGGGCCCCAACAGAGTAGGAGTCCTTTGCCAGCCATGGGATTTGAACCAGCAACCTTTCAGCTACAGGCGCAAATCCTTAGCCACGGTGCCACTGCTCCGCCCCACATCTTATAGTAATAAGTAAGGCAGCCTGTTCCACACTCCAACCACTCTTTGTGTAAAAAAGTGCCTCCTGTCCTCTGTTTGAAGTGAAATTAGGCTCACTGGGGGAGCTCCTGGCTCAGAGATCTGGAGATCACAAAAAAGGGAAATGCAGCTCTTCATCTCTTTGCAAGACAATATAAAACATGACTCAATGGCATTTTTCTTGGTAACTGACCCAAAACATAACAGACATAACAAAACATAACACTCTTCGCTCCTCTCCTCCTGGGAGACACAGTTAACAGGATTTGAGCATCGCCGGTTTTCCAGACACCATCAGAAAGGCTGTCTGAGTTCATACCAAGACCTGACACCATAAGCAACCTCAACCCTTTGTCTGTCTGTTCAACAGGCTGTTGAGACACTGAAATGAGTTACGTTCTTGATTTTAAACAGAACTATTCATCCCAAAGAGCTTCACACACAGGAGGGGACTCATTTCACCCCCACTGAAGTTCAGAACCACCTGGGTGACACTGTTCTGCACCTGCAGCCCCACGACACACAGATCAGGGGAGGAGAGAGAAACTGTACAAGACCAGAGTGGCATTCAGCCAGGACACTGAAGACCAGCGCCTCCTACAGCTCGGTGTCCTCTGTCACATTAATAGAACATTTGTTTGGAAATCATGGTCCCGAGGAAGAAGCACCACCTACTGATTTTTCAAGTGTCGCCCCTCTCAGTACTGACCCGGCCCAGTCTGGCTTAACTTCTGAGTCCTGAACAGATCAGGCTACAAGGTGAGTGTGCTGCTATTGTTCTTAGACACATGTCATTGACTCTTTGTCAGCTCTGGTCACGGATTGTGTCGGAAAAACAGTATTTTCCCATCTGAAAAGGAAGGGTGCACATTCGGAGTGTCCTACCTCTGCAGCTATGGAGAGAAATTGAAGACGGATTCGCCTGTGAGATTTCTCGAAGGGCAGGGAGCCCGTGGGGGGGACCCCAAACATTTCAGGGCCACTAAAGAGACAGGGCCCCTCGCGGCCCGCAGCTCCAAAACCGCTCGAGAAAGCAAAAATAAAAAAATAAAAACCGCAAAAAACAAAACCCCGCTCTTGTTAGGAACCTGCGCTATCAGTCATTCCACTTTGTTCACTTTCCTGTCATTACAAAAGAGAGGCAATGGAAGAAAAGCGAATAGGATATGATTAACAAATAACAGCACGTCAGACAGAAGGAACATTCTGTAAATGATTGAAGGTCAGAGCTAATTGTTGCCATGGAGATGTCGCCGTGTGAGAATCAGAACCCAGGGAAATGAGTTTTCCAGGATGATCCGTCTCTTTAGCTATTAAGACCTGCACCAGGGATGTGTCTATTAGAAGAGCGGATTAAAAAAAAAAAACACGGAGAGGGTAATAAGAATTGTAACAGATGGAAGAGAACGTTCTCCTCTGAGATAAACAAAAACAAGCCTGCACGCTGGATCACAGGAAAGCAGAGGCATTTGTCTCCAGAAGCGTGTCAAAATCACATGAAAGCACATACACCACATGTATGGTGAAGGTAAGGTAATATATGCTGCTGAGTTCCAGGGTCGGGTCACTCACGTCCCCTTGTTGGAAGTTTAACTGAGATTTCCAAAGCCCAAGAAGCAGCGTTTTGTTCCTGGTGTCTTATGCTCTCACCTGGAACGGAGGAAACCGCATGGAAGAGCATTTAAAACTGAGAACCGGAGTCGTGTCTGTACACATAGAGTGGTGGGTGTGTGGAACTAGCCAGACAGGCTGCTCTGTTGCCCCTTTCTGATGGTCTTCTCTGTCGGTTCCAGGTTCTACTGCAGGAGCCTCGTTCCATCGTCCAAGACGGCCCACACCTTTAGGGAAGCCGCAGTGAATTCAAGCTGGAGGTCTGGTCATTCAAGAGATCTGGAGGTTCCCGGTTCGAATCCTCAGTGGCTGTGCCGCCGAGTTGCCCTCGTTTGCTTGACTTTAGTGTCCTTCCAGTGAGATGCTGATGAGTATGGAGCATCCGGGGCAGCCGAGGGATTGCCTTGAGTCCACAGCACGCGCGGTCGTGCCCAGACAGGCCCTGAAAAAGAGAGCGAGCGGCCGTACTTGAAATCCCACATTCCCTCCCCCTGACTCAGGGCGCGGCGGACGAGGATCGTCGCCCCCTGCCGCCGGTTTCCTTCTCTCCCGTGCGATCCGCTGCCGGAGCCGGGAGCTGGCGCGGTTTCCAGGGCCGCAGCCCAGGTGCCGCCCCCCCCCCCCAGAGCCACTGCCAGCGCCAGACACGAACGGAAAGAATTACATCTGACCAAGGCACACTTCGGAGAGGTGGCAAACAGCTGTGCGGCGCAGACATCGGGAAAGTCCCCCTCCCATCAATTATCTAATTTGTTTCAGGACTGGGTGAAATCAGAGGAAAAGCAGTGAATGCGAGAAATATCCCTGTTGCCACCCACTATTCACTGCGCACAGAGAGTCTCTCCGGAAACTGTTACACGTAGATGCACATGCTGAGGTAGAGCATGCAAAGATTTTGAATATTATTTTTCTGAGAAAAAGACTTAAGGTCGGGCAGCACACTGGCACAGTGGTTAGCACTGCTGCCTCACTCGGGTGCCTGCCCTGGGTTCAATTCCTGAGGTGCTGTCTGTGTGGAGTTTGCATGGTCTCCCGTGTTTGCTCTAGTTTCCTCCCACATTAATTGGCTTCTGGGGAAGCTGGTCCTGGTGTGAGTGAGTGCGTGTCCGTGTCTGCGATGGGCTGCTGTCCTCCCCAGGGGTACCCTGCCCTGTTCCCGTTGCCTGCTGGGATAGGCTCTGGCTCCTCCATGTCCCTGAATTGGAAGACGTGTTTAGAAAATGGCTGGATGGAATTAAGGTAGGTGTTGTATTTGGGAATGGCTTGTGTGGCCGACAGGACGCCTCCACACAGCCCCACTGAGAAACACACCTCTCGGAGGAGGGATGGCAGCTCTTGTACGGAAGACAGGGGCTTATGGCTGGTGTCCTACATACCTGGTCTGCTGGTATGTGTGTGTGTGTGTGTGTGTGTGTGTGCGTGCGTGCGCGCTTTTCAGTTTATTAGTATTGTGGCTCATCGTAACAGATTCAAGGACCTTGGGTTTCCATGGAAACAGATGATGATTTTGTTGGTGGCTTTAGTCAAAAGAATGTGAAGGCGTTGTAGCTGACTCTAGAGCACACACACCGCCAGAAGCACGACAGGCACCGACATGCACTCGCACATTAACAGCACCCCCAAGCACACATGCGCACACTCATACACACACGCACACTTGGACACTCATGTCCGCAGACTTACACATGCACTTATACACACACTCACACTTGCACTCTCACACATATACCCACGCACACATGCATGCACACTTGCACAGTCACACACACATTCACTCACACACGCACTTATACAAACACTCAGACTTCA